CCGGTTTATAGGACCTCTCTCATATTCTATCTTGTCATATCTAAACTCATAGTCATGTATGTCCTCTAACCATCTCATAACGGTTTCCAAACCACTTTTATCGGATGTAAAGTAAAAGCATGGATGGTTATGTAAAACGTCTAAAGTTTCTAAAGAGTCTCTCAAAGTCCAGTCTACTTGGTATTGAAAATCCCATGTGTTATAGAACGGCGGGTCCACTATAAAGAAAACATTTTCCTTGTCTTTATATTTTTCATACAACTCTGTCCAATAACATCTCACAAACTCTATACCCTCAATATATTTTTCTATGTCCTCTTTGAAAACATTTGTATAGTTAAGATATAAAACTTTTGACATAAGTGTTTCAATGTCATGAACTCTTATAGAACCACTATATAATAGTCTAGCAGATATACTATCCCAGTCTATATATTCTGCTTTTTTCAAAACCTCTCTCACAATATTTTTGTTATCTAATGGTATACGTTCCATCTTACCTATAGGTATCTTTTCTTTTAACTCTTTCAATATATTGTTTGTGTCTGGTATATGTTTGAGACGGTCCATATAGTTGTCGAAGTCATTGCATATAATCTTTGAGTCTGGGAATATTGTATGGCACAAATGGGATATATAGAAACTTCCACCGAACAAATCTACAAATGTTAGACCATTCGGTAGTTTCTTAAGTTCTCTCAATATAATATCTTTACATTTACTCTTATTTCCAAAGAACGGTAACGGTGGTTTTGTAAAATTCATTTATATATAATAATAAAAATGTTTTTCCTGAAAAGTGACAGAAAAGTGACAAAGCATGAAAACATATATAATTTGTGAAAAGCGACACATTATATAATGTTTCGACCCAGAAGAAGGCTTCTTCCCAGAAGCAATGGAGGAAGAAGAAGAGTCCTCCGAATTCACACCAGAAGACTAACAATTTTCCGAATAAAAACTTCATTTATACTAAACATCTTCGGGGCTAGAGGGCACGAAGTGCCTGGAAGCCCCACTACCTTTTTTTTTTTTTTTTTTTTTTTTTTGATTTGAATCAAAATCTTAGACCTAAGCCGCTCGATTCGCTCGCGGCTTCCGCGAATTACAGATCAGCAAAGATTTGAATCAAAATCTTCGAACTAAGCCGATCGCTTCGCTCGCGGCTTTCTTTATTATTTTAAATTTGCATATTTCCATCAAAAGTTCATAAGGTAAAAAATTTCGTTTATTTTTACTAAGAAAAAAAAAGGTTTTTGATAATAAATTTATTTTATTTCGAAAAAGTAGCAATAATCGTAAAAGGGGCGCGGTTCAATTTTAACGACATTTTTTAACGCGATACGAGCGTAAGTCCATAGAATGTGTTTTGAGGGAAACTATAAAAATCCAAAATAGAGGTAAGTGCGCCATTATTACCTGCGAAGTTACATGAGTGTGGTAGAATTTACGAAAAAGTGACAGTAGAAAAAGTGACACTTAACCTTAAATTTCCAAACACTATTTTTTGATTATATTTGGTTATTTATATATTTATATATATATGTATATTTATATATGTATATATTTATATATGTATATATTTATATATGTATATATTTATATATGTATATATTTATATATGTATATATTTATATATGTATATATTTATATATGTATATATTTATATATGTATATATTTATATATTTATATATGTATATATTTATATATGTATATATTTATATATGTATATATTTATATATTTATTATGTATATATTTATATATGTATATATTTATATATGTATATATTTATATATGTATATATTTATTAGAAACTGCTTCATGCTGCATTGAGTATTGTTGAATAATTTGAAGTAGTGGTTTTTGAAATCAGCACCCCTATGAGAGCGCTGGCGACCGAAACACCACTAGTAAGATTGTGTATTAGAAACTGCTTCATGCTGTGTTGAGTAAGCTTCGATGTCTTTGTAGGATAGCTTTCTGAGAGCGAAACAAGATAGTGTTGAAAAAAAAATTTGAAAATCTGAGAGACTGTGCAAGAGCCAACGACCAAAACGCTACCAGTAAGATACAGCAGTAGTAGCTGCTTCATGCTGCATTGAGTATTGTTGAATAATTTGAAGTAGTGGTTTTTGAAATCAGCACCCCTATGAGAGCGCTGGCGACCGAAACACCACTAGTAAGATTGTGTATTAGAAACTGCTTCATGCTGTGTTGAGTAAGCTTCGATGTCTTTGTAGGATAGCTTTCTGAGAGCGAAACAAGATAGTGTTGAAAAAAAAATTTGAAAATCTGAGAGACTGTGCAAGAGCCAACGACCAAAACGCTACCAGTAAGATACAGCAGTAGTAGCTGCTTCATGCTGCATTGAGTATTGTTGAATAATTTGAAGTAGTGGTTTTTGAAATCAGCACCCCTATGAGAGCGCTGGCGACCGAAACACCACTAGTAAGATTGTGTATTAGAAACTGCTTCATGCTGTGTTGAGTAAGCTTCGATGTCTTTGTAGGATAGCTTTCTGAGAGCGAAACAAGATAGTGTTGAAAAAAAAATTTGAAAATCTGAGAGACTGTGCAAGAGCCAACGACCAAAACGCTACCAGTAAGATACAGCAGTAGTAGCTGCTTCATGCTGCATTGAGTATTGTTGAATAATTTGAAGTAGTGGTTTTTGAAATCAGCACCCCTATGAGAGCGCTGGCGACCGAAACACCACTAGTAAGATTGTGTATTAGAAACTGCTTCATGCTGTGTTGAGTAAGCTTCGATATCTTTATCAGACCACCTTTAAATTAACCACTCACATTCTCACTGTGGTCCATCTAAAATTTGTAAGCTTTATGACATAAAATTATATTATATGCAGGATCCCACCTATTTCTTAATCTTTTTGGAATAAATGTTTTATAATATTTATCGATTGATTGTAATTTTTTGTATAAAAAAAGTTTTTTATTTATATTAAAAATATATTTTGTTAATGATATTATCTTATAATTTGTAAATAAATCTAGTAATAAAATAACTTTAATAGTTGGTGTCACTTTTTCGAAAATTCTGGTTTTTTCGTCCATAGAATGTGTTTTGAGGGAAACTATAAAAATCCAAAATAGAGGTAAGTGCGCCATTATTACCTGCGAAGTTACATGGAATAAATCGAAGAGTAAGTACAAGATGATCTTGCATCTTTCCAAGTAAATGAAATTTATTAAAATTAAGATGATAATATTCATTTATAGTATGTGTATGATGTGTTTTCAAAATTTCTTCAAATAAAATGCAATGATAATTTTTGAATAATTTTTTTCTTGTGTATATTTCATTTTTTATTAGTGAAAATATCATTACATCAATAAGGAAAGCACAATCCAAATTCATATTAGTTAAATTAATCTACGACCAAAAGCCCGCCAAATTTGAATTAAACCTCCAATTTAAAATTTTCAAGTCTACGTGTTGTAAACAGAAATTCATCAAAAGTGACACCTCATAAAAAGCTAAAATATTGAATTTTTGGAACTTTTGATAGAGCACGTTTTTAAATATTAATTAAAGTAAATGTATATTTTGTAAAGATTCTTTTTAATAAAAAAATAAAATTTTGAAGAAGAACACAAAATCTTCTGAAAAATAATATCACATAAACTCATATTATTTTCTAATATATAACTATTTTATATAAAAATCAAATTCAATGATCTTAAAAGCGAAGGATAAACCTCAAAATTTACGAATATAATGAGTGGGAATATAATGATTATCTATCATAAAACCATATGAAATATCAATTTTTGCTTTACGCCTAATTTTTGACGACAATTAGCAAAAAATGTTAAATGTTAACACTCAGTCCATTTGAATATGAAAAATAAAATTGACTTTGATTAAATGTTTTTATTTATCATGCAATTCTTCTTGCGACCAAAGATTTGAATAAAATTTCAAAAAATAAGATAGCTTAAAAAATAATATACGGTAGTGTTTACTAATAGATGAATAGTATATAAATTCTATTAAAATGGATTTGATCCAAAAAAATATAAAATCAAAAATAATTGTTATAATTTAAATGAAGAAGTAATTTAAAACGATTTTATTTATGATCAAATTTTATATATTTTTTTGGATCAAATCCATTTTAATAGAATTTATATACTATTCATCTATTAGTAAACACTACCGTATATTATTTTTTAAGCTATCTTATTTTTTGAAATTTTATTCAAATCTTTGGTCGCAAGAAGAATTGCATGATAAATAAAAACATTTAATCAAAGTCAATTTTATTTTTATATTCAAATGGACTGAGTGTTAACATTTAACATTTTTTGCTAATTGTCGTCAAAAATTAGGCGTAAAGCAAAAATTGATATTTCATATGGTTTTATGATAGATAAGCATTATATTCGTAAGTTTTGAGGTTTATCCTTCGCTTTTAAGATCATTGAATTTGATTTTTATATAAAATAGTTATATATTAGAAAATAATATGAGTTTATGTGATATTATTTTTCAGAAGATTTCATTCTATATGCCTATGAAAAGTACTCTCAAAACTAATCTTTCCTAATTATAATTAAATCTAGAATATTGTATTATGCTTAGTATTATTTCATTTTTCTCATTCAATTTAGAATTTACAAATGTCAAAAAATTGAGAGCTGTCACTTTTGATGAATTTCTGTTTATTACATATGGAACCATCCTTGGATCATAGTAATCATTCATTACAAAATGGAATCTTTTGGTATTGTGCGGGCGATACCATAGATTTCTTTTTATTCATAATGCTATTGAACAAGCTCATTCCGTGGATTTTCATTTAGAACTTTGTTTCATGAGTTTCTGGAACAATGTAACATCTGAAACCTTTTGTGCGGGCAAAAGAAGGGATGTTTGTTGATTGAAAAATACTCATTTAAAAGAAGTTCTGAAAAGAAATTTGGAGATGATTTGTGGGTTGTGTAAGGTGTAGGTGTTGTGATATATGTGGAATGGAATGATCGTTACCTCAGTCATTGACTCATCCTTACCTCAGACAACAACTCATCCTTACCTCAGACAACAACTCATCCTTACCTCAGACAACAACTCATCCTTACCTCAGTCATTGACTCATCCTTACCTCAGACAACAACTCATCCTTACCTCAGTCATTGACTCATCCTTACCTCAGACAACAACTCATCCTTACCTCAGTCATTGACTCATCCTTACCTCAGACAGTTAGTATACAAGTCTTGGGTATGGTGGCACTGCGTTCCACCTTACCCAATACTTGTGAATTTGACACTTTACAAAACCGTTAACGTATATTTTACAACATGAACGCAAAAACTAACTTAACCTTAAATATTTACAAAGCCGCCAACAATTTCACCTCACTATCGTTCTCACTAACAACTTCACTAATGTTCTCATAAATTTTCCTCAATATCTTCATCATCAGTGTTAACCCTATTGTAGTCATACTTGAAGCCATAAACTTTCTCTAACTTCTTAACGTACAATTTACATAACTTACCTTCGTCATCGTATGGTTTAATGATATAACTATTTCTATCTTTATAAACAGTCAATGAAAAGTCAACTGGTCTCGGATGTATTTGAAAGAACATGTTATGCTCAGGAAGGAAGAATAAATGTTTAAATGTATGTTTGTTATATATTTTGATTTGTATGAGTTGCTTTTGTTCTGTCATTACATCCAAATAAAATAAAAATAATTTTAAAAAATAAAATAAAAAATAAATGATATCACCACCCTCACACGTATGAAAACATAGCACAAAAATAAATTTAGGTGAAGTGGTGAGATCTAACCCGATTTCTAACCTCATTTCTACCTGTTGAATTCATTGCTTTATAACTCTCTTCCTTGGTTTCTTTTTAGTTGCTTTCTTCACGTCTGTCTCCAACTTGACTGTCTTTCTTCTTCGTCCATAATGATACCAATTACTTCCACCAGTCAATGGGTCAAATGGTCGTTCATAAGGGTTTCCATACATTCCATAAGGTCCGTATGGATAAACCGCTGGTGGAGAAGAAACATTTTCTTTAGTTCCATCGACTCTATTTAAATGCATTGTTTCACCTTTCATCTGGTCATTAAAGTCTTTTGCGTGTTTTGCAAACTCATCGTCCTTTCCTAAAGCATTTTCTGACTCAGTCGCAACCAAATTGGATGCTTTATTTATGAGCCCTATTTTATTTAATCTTAACTTCTTTGCAACCCAGCCTCCAATCTTCCTTTATTTGCATCTAATGTCTTCGAAACCCTTCCTCCACTCATTTTATTTACTGCGTCATAAGCTCCAAGTGCTTTTGCTCCAAATGCTAATGCTTTTGTTCCCATTGCGCCTAAAGCTGCCCAAGCTACCATTTACACCATATTAAAATCATCTCTCTTCAATATTATCTCATAAAAGTTCTCGTTACTGGAGAAAGTCAATGAAACATAAACATTCTCACGGGCTTCACCCTCACCGCTTTGCGGTCTATCTAACTTCTTTCTTATCTCATCTATTCGCTTCAAAATGTCTGAACAATTGCTAACATCTTCTACAACAGTTATTTCATCATGAACGACCTTTAAGAACAAGCTCATTTAATATGCAATTAAAATCATCTCAATAATGAGTCCATCCTTTCCATCTTTAGGTAGCACAACATCTTTCATTGAAGAAGGTTCGACAAGTCTTATGTTAAACTTACTGACAAAGTTTGTTATACTATAATGCTTCGGTGGCGAATACATGTAGTTTGAAAGACATAATATAGATTCTTCAGCAAATTCACTTATACTGGATTTTATAACAATGTTCTCACGAGACCAAACCACCAATTGACAATCTTGTAAGCAATCCTGCTGAGCCTTCAACTGTAAACGTCGATGGTAACATTCCACGAAGGTCATCTATTGACATCTTTGAGTCACTGAATTTAAATATTTTCTTAAAGCAATCGTCATTATCTAACCATGCAATAGCTTTGAAGTTTTCATTCGAATATACATCTGCTTCATTAAATGTAAAACCTGACTTCTTTGCAGAGGCGATTTTAAAATCTATTGCATTTGTTTCAAAATTATATGCTATGGTAACTTCTGAAGGTAATGGGTGTCCTTCTGCATAAGTTGTTCTTTCAATACCATTTGAAGCTTTGTGTTAAAAACTTTCATGTCATCTCCTGTATCTAAGTTCACATACACAGCAACAGGGAAACTATCTTGCTTCTTTGTTTCATCATTATATCTCAAAACATTAAAGTTCTTCAATAATATTGTCCTTCCTGCTGGAATACTTCTAACTTGTCTTATTTCAATAGCTTTCTCACCTCCTACATACTCTACCCAGTGTCTTGGATATTCATAAGTATACTGACTTTCTTGAATTTTGGTTGGTTTCATCATAACGTGTTCATAGTATATCTTTATACTCTTGTCAGTTAGACTCGGTGCTATGTTCTGAATATTTCTGACTTGCATTTTTAATGGAGATAAAATGAAGCATTTAATACATGACGTAGATGAAGACATGAATGAAACTACAGACAAACTTAACTCTTCTCTTATTCTTCCTTTCAGCAAAGATTATGAATTCTGTTCAAATGGTGTGTATTTCTATTGTGGAAAGATGGGTTCAGGTAAGACATTTAACCTCATTCGTCATATACTCATAACAGAGCGTTTAGGAAACGACTCTTACTATGACCAAATCATTATATCAGCAACTTCAGACTCTATGGATTCAACAGCGAAAACATTCATGAGTAAAGTTCAAGCATCTGTCGTTAAAGTTCCAGATAGCGAACTCATTGAATTTCTTCAACGTTACATTCGACGTAAGAGAAAATATTATGCTATTGTAGAGTTCATACAGTCAGGAATGCAAAAGACTTCAGAAGAGATGGAAAGAATTATTGACAAACACCACTTACGTCAGTACTCAGGAGTTTACGATATGAAACGACTGACAAACTACATTCTATCAAAACTTTCAAAATACCCCTTCAAAAAGTATCCTTCAAACACTCTGCTCGTTTGTGACGACTTCGCCGGAAAAGGTTTAGTGTCAAAGCCTGACTCACCATTAGCTAACATCATAACTAAAGTCAGACATTACCATTTAACTGTAGCAATACTTATGCAAACATGGCGTTTCCTTGCTTTAAACATAAAACGTCTCATAACTGACTTCGTTATCTTTCAAGGTTTCTCACGCTATGATATTGAACTCATTTGGAAACAGTCAGGTATAACATTACCTTTTGAAGAAATTTGGGAAGCATATAAGTCTCTCATCTCTCCTCGTTCATACCTTGAGATTCATATCATGACTAATACCATTAAAGTCAAAAATATTCCATGGGAACGACCAACATTGTTTTAAAGTTAACCTTCAATTGACTGATGGTAAACAAATTCCATGCATCTCTGTCGCCATTTCTGTTAATATTTTTGCTGTCATTCATATCATCCACTTCCCCATCCGTTAGCTTTTGAGGATATGCGTTAGAATAGCTGTTCTTAAATGAAGGCTTTTCACCTTTGAGAGCATAAACTCTATAACTTTCTGCATACTTTATGTTTGAACCTCCTGAGCCATCATTGACATAAATTTTTATAGGCTTCCACCCTTTGTTCATATTCCTGCTTCTTCCCTTTGCTCTTTTGTTCAGTAGTTCTACATCTTTATACACAGCTCCTGTCTCAGTGAATTCAACAATATTTTCATTCGTTAGCTTTACATTCAAACCCTTGTCGAGTATATTGTTCATTTCATACATATAAAAGGTTTTTATTCTATATGAAATGAGAAGCAAATCCATCTTAGCTGGTGCCGTTAATGTTCCAATTGAACCAACATCAAATGTTGACTCACGAACGACAAACAATATTGTCATAAAGAACTATAGTTCGGGTGTTTGAAAGAAAAAGAACCAGATCTTAAGTCGGTGAATTTAAACACAACTTCAAACGCTAACGCTACATCAGATGTTAAGTTAGAGTATCCACCACTGGACCAAGTTCTTTCAAGAGAAGCCAACGACAACCCTTACACAAATGTTCAAACAAATCCTTCAGATAACGTAGACCATTACCTTCTTCAGTTATACCAAACAATTTTACTCAAAGACGATAAGAAGCTTTTGACAAATCTTATAAGTAAGAACCAAATAATTCTAACAAAGGAGGACCTTGAAAATGTTATATCACGAATAACAGGAAAGCAATGTGTCATTGACTATCTCGACCCTGAAATCGAATGCTGTGGTCAAACTCCAATATTCATGAAAATAGGTAACATCCGCATCATTGAAACACCAGGTACTCCAGGAGTTGAGTTTAAGTATAAATATTCGAACGAGTATACAAAACTATCTACTTACTATAAGCTTTGTTTGAAATATGTTTTAGTAAATTAAAGCAATTTGTAATATCTATCCAAAACTTCTTCAACAGTATCGAACTCATCTTCATAATGCAAACCTAATCTTATTGACTTGGTGCAGTTTTCACTAACACAATATTTTTCTGTTCTCTTGACTGACATAACTAACTCATTTGTTTCATCAAACAGCAACAACCAAAGTTCATGACCTAATACATAACATTCATACTTTATATTTTTAGCTCTGAGTTCTCTTGTAAGCTGTTGCATTTAATATTTTCTAAAAAGTCAACTTCAACAGTCATTCGCACTGGTGCCTTCAGTTCTACAGGCTCTCCTTGAAAGTCAACAAGTCTGAATTGCATGTCTTTCAAATTATGAGGACTAATGCGAACCCATTTACCTAAATGAGTTGCTATGACAGGAACGTTTGGAATGAACATTGAATTTACTTCATAACAGAAGGATTTATATTCTACTGAACCTTTACTATTAACTCCTGAAATACCTGTGACATTAGCTATTTTTGACTCAATGTACAAACAATTGCCATAACATACGTATGGAACAGATTTCATCTCAATCGTTTTGTCAACACTTTTCAAAGGAAATGTCATATGGTATGCTCCCAAAAGAAGTTGTACTCTATGACTCATTCTTGGTATCTTAAACTCTTTCGCATAACTGAACTTCAAAACTCCTGCAATAAGTTTAACATTCATTAAGTTTTCTCCGTTATCCTTGTTTATTGTAGTATTTATGAGAGCATTTAACACTCCAGCTAATGTTTCCATCTTATATTCTACATTATTGTGAAATCTTATTTCGTGCTTCTTTCCATCTATTTCAAGCTCCATGAAATCTGTTTCGTCAGTTATAACGAATGAAGCAATAGTATTAAAGTCAACCATTCTGAATGCAAGTGGCTCATTCTGTAGACCTAAGTTTGTTTGTAGTTTTACTGTCCCGTATTCGTTTGGGTCTGTACTTTGCAAATAGAACAACATTTTATTCTCATTAAAATATGAGTATAGCTGCATATGCGTATGAAGCTGACAGAGCTAAACGTTTATATTTTGGTCAATACTCTCTCACACTTACTGACAAATATATTGTTATCAGTGATGGAAATACCGAGAAATACATAACATGGAAGGACTATGAAAAGTTTGACCCCATTTTAACTCCATGCACTATGCCATTCATTGTAAATGGTGAAGTTGTCATGAAGAACGACACAACAGTATATAAGTCTGTTCATGAAGCGTTAGAATATATGTTGAATTATAATCCCGAAAGATTTGACCCAAGCACTACGCCATGTACAATGCCTTTTATTAAGGATGGTGAAATCGTAAGAGTTCCGGATTCAACGGTTTACACAGCTGTTCAAAACAGTTTACAAAACATTTTAGCGAATATCTTTAATTCAGAAACTACAGAAATAAAATTACCATATATAACAGATGCTAAAGAAATTAAATCAAAAACGACAACATTATTTACGTCACTTAATGATTTAATGACTTATATCATTAATATTCCTGCACCAACTATAGCATTTGATCCAAACTCGACGGTTTGCAGTGTACCTTTCATAAATGACAGTTCATTAATTACTTTAAGGGATTCGACAGTAAATGAATCATTAAAGGCGTCATTAATGAAAATCATTGATTTTAATTCATTCATGAATACATATAATTCATTCATTAATGTTTCATATGCTTCTAAAGAAGGTGAGCCAAAAACTATCGATAAAGCGGTGTATGAAATAAAAGCATCAACGACGAAATTGAATTCGTTAACTTTTGACGGTGATAGTTTCGTTAATGACATAACATCGGGGAAAACAATTTTAACGAAAGAATATTTAAAATCTCATGTTAGTGAGTTCGTTGAAATTGAAAAAGAAGGTGGAATTAAGTTCGATCCACTGAATTTCATTTTCAGCTTAGCGAATGCGGGTGTTAGTTTCGCTGAATGGACAACTATACAGAGTGAAATAAATGCAATATGGACGTTTTTGGGGTCAAAAGCGGGAATGGGTGAGCTTGTAAATGCTGCAAGAACATTAGGTGAAACAGGAAATTTTGTAGATGGTTTTAAAAGACTTGTTTCAAATGTTTTAACAAACACAAAGAAATTATTTAGATATACCGTACATAACGGACGGATTTTCGAACAGATAGCAACAAACCCTCCGGTTATGGCTGCGTTGATGATGGTTAGAGATATAAAACCACGTAACGACGGGAACGAAGAACATGAACAACAGGATACTGGTCGGGTTATTCGAGACATTAAAAACGTGTATCCTGAAGTTATTGATTTATTTAGAGGAGTTAATGATTCAATTTCAAAACATTCTATAACCCTCGATGAAGAGAATAAATTAACAGATTATATATTCGTCATTATTGCAGAATTAATGAAGAGAATAAATGAAAAAGGAATTGGTGATATCATTAATGTCAGCGATGTAATGATGAAAAGAAATTTTGACTCATTATTTACAAAACCGAAAACAGAATATAGTCTTTATGACGTAATTACCGAATTAATGAAAAAGATTAATGATAATAAGAGTTCTGGCGGAAGAGTTGAATTAGAAGTGAATGATGTTAATGAGAAATTAGCCGAAAAAGCAAACAAAAATGAGCTTTTAGCTCTGAGTGATAAAGTCAAGAACCACGTTCATTATATAACTTCAGACGAACAGATTATAACGAACTACCATGGATATTTAACACGAAGTGATGAAGCGAAGACAAAAAATGTTAATGAAAGAAGATATAAATACATTCGTGCTAAAGGTTATGACATAAGCTGTACTGTACAGTATGATGTAGCTAAAGCACCAGAAGCATTTGGTTATACCGGTGAAATTTATGCCTCTACTTTCAATGTTAACGGTGTATTAGTTGAACCAAGATTTACTTTGAGAGTTAAGTCAAAAATAACGTTTGAAGATGCTATTAAAAGTAAAGCTGACAAAGTTGAACTTGAAGCAACGAACAAAGTTTTGAAATCTCATAAACACAACATCTCCGATATAAATGAACTTCAAGCTACATTAGACAGTAAAGCCGACAAGAACCATACACATAAATCCTTCACTACTGTTAGAGCAGACGACATAATATTGAACTATACCCTTGGTTCAAGTGCACCTTTAGAGAATCCAAGTACAAGCGTAAAAGATACACTAAACAATTTAGATAACAGTTGCAGGAATATTGAAGGTCATGCCAGAAACTTTGAAGCACATGAACTACCAGCAATGTTAGATAAGAAAGCCGACAAAACTTATGTAGATGAAAATTATGCAAAGAAGTCGGAAGTAAATGCTGCGCTTAATGGAAAAGCCGATAAAGAGCACGTGCATGAAGAATTTCAAACAATCAAGATTAAAGAAATTAAGGCATGCATCGAAATAGTAACAAAAACAGGAAGAGACGGTGCAACTGTACAAGAACAAAGAATTTATCCTCCTACTTTTCCTAATGGTTTAATAACAAACAATATAAATATTGTAGAAGGCAATAAAACTATAAACGTTAAACATGAACTTCTAACAATGAAGGCCCAGATTCTTGAAACCATATATCCTATAGGCTCTATTTATACGTCAATGAACTCAACAAATCCGGCAAGTGTTTTAGGTTTTGGTACGTGGGAACAGATTGTAGATAAATTCCTCTATTGTGCGAACTCTTCAAAGCAAACAGGTGGTTCGAAGAAAATTAAAGAAGCAAACCTTCCACCGCACACTCATACAGGAACTACAAACACAACAGGTAGTCATTCACATTCAATAACAAAAAGAGGTTATACAAATCTTGCAGCAGGTTCGGATAGACAGGGAATGCATAGATATGATATTTCAAGTGACCCAGTAGATTCAAGCGCAGGTATTTTCTGTGGAACCGCAGGAAATCATTCACACACTTTCACAACAAATCCAACAGGCTCGGGTAGATTATATGCCACCATTTGTGACTATATTCGCATGGTACCGCGTTCAATGAACTCGCTTGAGCCTAGAATAAAATCTTTATTTTTACATAAATGAGCTTGAAAGAAGTATTCGAACAACATCCATGGAGGTCATTTAAGAAGTTCAATGAAGCTGCAAAGAGTTGGGGATTTACTAACAGAGCTGAAGTTAAAAAGTTCTTTGACAAAAATGTTGTACATCAAACAAAAATAAACCCTTACGACTACTTTTTACCAATTTACTCCAACACTCCAGACGCATACCAATTTGACACTCTCATTCAAAGCAGAAAAGGAGGACATAAACCATTCCTCATCTTCATAAATGTTAACACTCGCAAAGCTTTTGCGTATATAATGAGAAATAAAGGAACTCGTGAAGTGTTAAGAGTTTTACAAAAGTTTGTAGCAGAACATAACCCAAGTACTTTAACATCAGACCAAGACAGTGCATACCTCAGCAACGAAATCACAGAATTTCTCATTAAGCATAACATAACTCACTACACTACTGAAGACCATAACCATAAATAGGTATCATTAATCGCTTCATAAGAACGCTCAGAGATTTAAATCAAGAGCGAGACTTTACCGAAGAAACAATGAAACATTTTCTCGAAGTATATAATTCCTCAACAAATTCTACAACAGGACATACACCAAATTCAATGACACAACAACAAGAAGAAAAGTATATACAAAAGAAACGAAGCCAAACACAAAATATCAGAAATTCAACACAATTTACCCTCATTCCTGGTACAAAAGTTCGTGTAGTTCTTGACGACAAACCGTTGACAAAGAAACGTTTAAGGTTAAGTCGAAATTATTATATCGTAGACTCTACGCAAGGTAATGGATATCTTATAAAAGCTGCTGACGACTCTATTGCGTTTTATCCTCGTCATAAATTAGTCGAAAGTAGTAATGGCAAACTTGCTGAAACCATTGACGAAGCAAAGCGAGGAGTGGTTATTGAAATACTTAACTATAACATAAACGATGACACTTATAAAGTAAGATATGAAGGAGGCGTTGAAGATGTTATACCATCTAAGAACTTGAGAGAGTCAAAGCCAACACATCTGGGACCATTAGAGCGGGAGTACTGGAAAGACAAAAATAAGCCAGAAAGAATAAGAAAATTCTTCTAAACTTTTTCATTAGATGTAAATCAGACATGAACGAGAACAGTCATGATATCATTAATGGTACCATTTATTTTAACATAAACTTTATTTATGTTAGAATGTTAGATCTAACACGTTTTCTAACCACTTTTCTAACATGGTCTAAAACTCTCGAAAATCATGAATTTTTGACATTTCCTTATGAAAGAAAAATAACGCTAATTTTTTTCTAAGAAAAATTTTTATCTTGTATGTAAAGATATGATTTCAACAATAGGTTCTACAACACTTCAAACAACAACTTCACCAAACTCTTTAGTTATGAATCCAACATCTATGTTAGTAGAGATGAAAAGCTTCATTCCTTCTTCATATACTTTTGAGACAGAAATACAAAGAATTAAGCAAGAACTTTTAACAAGTAATTTAGACTGTAGTGCGAAAGATGAAACAAATGAACAGTATCTTTATGACATGCAGGATATTATTGACCATTTACCCAAATTGCCTGAAATCCAACAACAAAAGCTCACTATTCATGAATTCGATGAAATAGAAGTGAAACCAACTGACTCAGTAGAAATAAAGAAGTTCATACGTAAAGTAAACTATGAGTTTCTAGGATATCATTGCAACCATAAAGTTATGGACAAAGATTGCGACATGGTATATAAGAACATCTCTGACATATATAAATCTGGGGAGTTTAAGACATACGACAACTTTGTTTCATTAGTTGCTGAATGTGTATGGCAGATAAGAGATAAAGATAAAAGATGTAAAATATGGAATGGACAAATAAAACCAACAACTTTTGAGTTAAAGAAAACCATTGACGCCTTAGTTGTTCTAGCAGGTCAAATTTCAATGTATAACGCAAAAATGAATCCGCAATGTTCAAAATGTAAAGCAGCAATGAGGAAATATAACTACTCCGTCAAAGAGATAGAACGTATGAGAAACGACTATGCTGACTTAAAGAAAGAAGTAGAGAAACCAGCAGAAGATAAAATGGACATGTTAGCATTTCTGAACAAAAACTATCCAACTGCTGACGATTTCCTATTATCTGATGTCAAGAAGAAATATAAAGAAACCTTCGGCATAGTTAAAATTTTTGATATCCTTCGTGAAGAAATAGAAGCTACAAAACTGTTTAAAGTCATGAACCATCGCAACATATACCATGTAAAACGCTTGTAAATAGTTTTCTTCGATGTTAGAAAAGTGGTTAGAAAACGTGTTAGATCTAACATGCTAACATAAACATTATTTTTTCTAAGAAAAATTTTTATCTTGTATGTAAAGACAGTAATGTCAAACATTGAGTTTGAAACAGTTAGAAAGATAGACAATGACACCAAAGTGGTTAGAATAGGTGATTTAAACGTAAGATACTCAAAGAAATACAACAAATATTCTTTGTCAGACATTATAACACCATCTGGAAAGAAAACAAACGACTGGGTTAGAAATGCTTCAACTCAGAAAATTTTGACAAGAAATCCTGAGCTTATGATATCAGTAGCATTTCATGGAACAAGAGCATATCTTATAGACAAAAGTCTTATACCAATAGTTTTGTTATGGTTAGACCCAGTTGTTGGATATAACTTCATAACTTATGGTTCATTCGATACGGAACGTTGCAGTGAAGGCTTACTTTACATCGTTCAGAAACCGAAGGACTTCAATACAAAGAGATATAAGATAGGAAGAACATATAATATAACTCAAAGATATGACAGTACAGTCAATAGAGTCAAGGTTGTGTTCGTTAATGATATGAGAGCTGCAGAAACAGAACTACTTGAAAAGTTTGAGAAAATGTATGGTGCTCCCATGAAAGGTAAAGAAACGTTTGAAGTAGATGAGATAGATAAAGCTATAAAATTATTTGACGAAGTTGCTGAAAAATACATGTAAAGCGTTTATTTTTGGTCTTTTGTGAAAGTCAGAAAATAACGCTAATTTTATTTTTATTTATTTTTTTATTTTGTATGTAAAGACAGTAATGACAACATCAGAGAACACAACAACAGTTATAGTCCATGAAGCTATAAATGAAGAATACGAATACATACAGTATAACAAACAGTTACGTCTCATTCGTTCAGTCAAAGATGACATGTACCAAATGCAAAGTATAATGAATGCTCTTCGTTCTACAAAGCAAGCATATCATTGGTTTGAAAACCAACAGACAAAAGAACTTTTAGAAGAATTTCCTCATATGATTGCTTCCCTCGGAAAACCGAGAGAAGAGATTCCGTACGAAAATCGCAAGAATTTGGCACCTGGTTTGAAAGGTTATTATGTTCATAGACTTTTAGTAAACGCTGTAGCAATGTGGGCTTCACCTCGTTATGCTTGTTATATTTTCATGATGTTAGATGAACTATATAAAGCAGAACGTGGAGAGATGGAAAAGAAACTTCAAGCAAAAGATGAAGTCATTGAATCCAAAGACAAAAGCATACAGAAAAGAATACCACGTTCAGTACCAAAAGGAAAGGAAAAAAGCTATAAGTATATGATTTACGCTGAAGAGATGGAGAAAGAAGAAGATAGAGATATGGTTATGTTGCATTTAGTGAGAAGAAACAACAAGAGCTTTTATGACCTCGCTAAAATATATAAATCTGACAGAAACTGGTTCTATCGTGAAAACTTACCGATTTCAATGACACCGAATGAGCAAATAAAGGAAATTGTCAAAAGTACTCTTCCTCAAACACACTATGATATTAAAGGTTGTACAATTCTTACCTTCAAAGAAGACTTACCATTACTGAAGGAAAAAATAACAGAATATTTCGATAACTTCAAAGAGGAAGAATAAAAAAATCTAAGCTAATTTTATTTTTTATAAAATTTTATCTCATATGAAAGAACATGAATTTAGAATATTCGGAACTCATGACAGAAGAAGAGAACGAACAACATGTAAAAGATTATGCAAAATTTCTGAAGGTATATAAAGCTTATGAAAAAGCGTATGAAAAGTTTATACATTGGGGAATTGTTGTAAAATATCGATATGAAGACTAACCAAAAATATATTTTTGTTCAAATAACGTCAGGGTCAATTTCTTCAACCATTTCACTTCCTTCGTCAATGTCAATTGAAGCTTCTTCAACCTTTGGTAAGAATTTCTGTATAACATCTTTGTTCGTTATTGTCTTCAGAGATGAAGGATAATATTTCACATTTGTTTCACCCTTCTTATATTCTTTCTGTTCCGAAAGATTTAAAGCAATACTGAAGAAGTCAATGTTAGAGTTCTTTATGACAGTATAATGAGTATCTTTGACATTCACGAAGAAACCCTTTTGTTTCAAAACTACTGCTAACTCTTGTGAAGTATAACGTTTGCGGTCAATGACAATAGCTAATGGTCTGACATACTGACCAAACTTAGATTCTTTCACAAACTTCTTGTTAAAGATAACATTAACGTTTGAAGCACCATTGAACTCATTCTTGATGACAGTAGCGAGAGCATTGTATGAAAAGAACTTGCAATCTTGCATGTGTTTCATTAAAATAAAAATATTAAATTATTTTGAAAAATAACTTAAAAAAATCTAATCTAATTTTTTCAAAAAATATTTTTTTATTTCCTACTAAAGATGTATCGGAAGTTGTCTAAGTTAGAACACTCGGAAATAAAACAACTTCTTACAGAAGCTAACATAGATGTTGCAAAACATTACGCGACAAACAAAAAAGCACTCGCTGACATCCTCAATGACTATAATGGTGCAATAAGTTATGATAGAATTCATGAGTTCATAAAGCCGCAACGCGGCGAGGACGAAGTCCATGCAAGAACTTTTCCTTTAAATGACGTTGCTATTGACTTATATCATAGACGTTCAGTACCTCATGAAGTAAGAAGAGAAATGTTTGACATAACAAATGCAAACGTTGGTGAAACAAGAAGAAGAGACGACACACTGAAACAACAGAGAAGAGAGATGTTTAAAAGTGCTATAGAACAAGTTCGCAAAGCTAACGATGTCATTCGTTCCATTGACGACAAACCAAAAGAAGGTGAGAGATGGTTAAAGAAAGATGAAGAGAATAGGAAGAGAAATGTGAAGTCAGGCAATAGACTCATTGACTTTAACATCGAAGCTTTAGATGAACCAAACAGAGAATATTACACAAACATTTCGGTAAGGTTTTCATGAGACTCTTAGAGAAGATTAAAATAAACTCACAACAGAGATGGATGGTATGTTATAAACTTGGTGGAAAGTATGAATGTTCTACGTTAAACCTCAATAATATTGGAACATTACTACATCAGCTCTTGAAGGAGAACTTTATATCAGAGATAGAAGCAAATGCCGCAGGTATTGTTGAAATGCACTATGACTTCTTCTTGACAAACATAAAGAATCTTACTGAAATAAAGATGTATGATTTAACAGAATATGAAGGCTTAACGATGTCAGATGTAAAGAAAGGCAAACCAAAAAAGAGACCATATAGAGATGAAAGCACACTGACAAATGACCAGAAAGCCATTTTGGAAGCTCTTAAGCAAACAGGAAACCCAGCACTTATAGAAAGCTTTTGGAAAGATAATGGTGAAAAGAAGTTTTATAAGAAGAGAAGCGGTCAGTTCTGGAAGTATCTTTGCACATTACCTATAAATCTTGAACGCTACCAAATCTTCAATGAACTGAACAAAAGAACTGCAACACTTATGACAGAAGACAATTGTTTCGTTTATGCTTGCATTCAGGCTGGAGTAAATGAAGAAACTATTGACCACATGAGAGAAGTCATTCGTGTTAGAGACTTTCCTCAAAGTAAAGTACAAGAAATTTCTGACGCAACAGGTATAGCATTTAATGTTACCATTGGTTACTTCAATGACTCAAGATATAATGAAATAAAGAGATACATACCAAAAGAATGTGAAACTGTTCGAACTATTGACCTACTTCTTGTTGAAGACCACTACATGCTAAACGAAAGACTTCCAATGACAACATACTTCGTCAGAAATTACAAAGAAATCTTGAAGGAGTGTGGTGGAATGAACATTGAGAAACAGATGAAAATATATACAAAGAGAGAGAACAAATATGTAGTTCGTTATGATAGAACTACACCGCTATGGGATGTTATGAAAACATTGTGGGAGTGCAAATATTTCGAACCTATTTCTTATGGAGAACTTTTCACATATACTACTGACTTATATAAACAGAACCTTGCACCATTTAAAGATTTGACATATGCTCCAAAGTATTGTGTACAACTGAAGAAGAAAGCCGAGTCAAAAGAAGTAAATAAAAATAAGTGCAAGTTCATTCCTGAGCACGTTTTCTTTGCTGACTTTGAGTGTAGTACCGATGGCTTTCATAAAGCTTTTAACATATGTTACGACAGTGAAGATGGTTCAGTGAGTGAAAGCATTTGGGGTCAGAACTGTGCAACAGAATTTTTGGAACGACTTCCTGACAAGAGTTTAATATATTTCCATAACCTCAGCTATGACATAAACTTCATCTTAAGACACATGACAGAAGTGAAAGGAACTCCCATCATTAAAGGTTCACGAACAATGCAAATAACTGGTTTATATAAAGGACGGGCAATTATTATAAAAGACTCTTACAGTGTTATAAATAAGAAGCTTAAACTATTTCCTGCTATGTTTAACTTACAAACAGGACCGAAAGAAGTATTTCCATATAACTACTACAGCAGTGTTTTGTTAGCAAATGACAACAGAACTGGTGTCATTTCTGAAGCATGTAAGTTTGTCAAGGATGCAGATACATTTATGAAGAACATAGATTCCATCAAAGGTTGCAGAATAGATGAGAACCACTTCGACTTAGAAAAATATAGCACGTTTTACTGCAAACAAGATGTAAGAATTTTAAGAGAAGGTTTTGTAAAGTTCCGCAATGACTTATTGAAAGAGTTTGATTTAAACGTTTATGACTACGTTAGTATTTGTTCTATTGCTAACAAATTGTTTGAGAACAGAGTGTACTTCCCGAATGGAAATCTTTATGACCTCTCAAATAAACCAAGAGAATTTATTTCGAGATGCATTCAAGGTGGAAGATGTATGTTGTCAGATAACATTAAACAAAAGAGCAAAAAGAAACTCATTGCTGACTTCGACGCTGTTTCATTATATCCATCAGCTATAGCAAGACTTTATACTTTAGAAGGAATTCCAAAAGTATTGAAGGATGAGATGTTAAGCACAGAGTATCTCATGAGACATTTATTCGATGACGACCAAAAGGAACCCATTGGTGAAAAGTTTATGTCTGGCTTCTTTGTTCTCATTAAGATAACAGAGATTGGAATACATAGACACTTTCCTTTAATAGTTTGTGACCCTGAACTAAATCCAGAACTTAACGTTCCCAGAAGTTCAAACACTTGCTGTTTAATGTATGTTGACCATATAACATTACAAGACCTCATAAAATATCAAGGTGTCAAATGTGAAGTGTTGCAAGGATACTATTACGATGGAAACAGAGATATTAGAATAAGAGATGAAGTAAAGAAGTTGTTTGAGTTAAGGTTAAAGTATAAGAAAGAAGAAAACCCATTACAAGAAATTATAAAGCTCATTCTGAACAGTATTTATGGCAAAACCATTTTATCTCCTATTGAGTCAAAAATAACCATAGTAGATGACAAAGATGCTATAAGATATGCTATAAGAAATTACAACCATATAGTGAAGTTCGAAGGTTTGGATGGTTCAGATAAAACTATTTTCAAGCTAACGAAAAGCATTTGCAGACACTTTAACTTTTGCCCACTTGGTGTAAATATTCTATCAATGTCAAAACGTATTATGAATGAAGTGTTTTGCACGATTGAAGACTTAGGATTAAAAGCATTTTATCAGGATACAGATTCGATGCACATTTACAATGAAGACATACCACGTTTAGCTCATGAATTTAAGAAGAGATACGGTAGAGAACTTATTGGTAAAACATTAGGTCAATTTCATAGCGACTTCGCAGAAATAACACCTGGAAAACAAAGTTTAGCATACAAGTCAATATTTTGTGGAAAGAAGACCTACATAGACTTACTCACTAACGATTTAAATGAAGTTGCATTTCACTGCAGAATGAAAGGCGTGAAGCAAGATGTTATTGCTTTAACCGCTAATGAAATGTTTCCTGACTCTGTTCAGTGTTTCTATGATGAAGATAAAGGTTTAATGGTTCCGCAAGGAAAATTTGACAAAGACTCTGAGTTCAGTGTTATGCAGTTATATAAAGCACTTTATGACGGTCAAGAGATTGGATTTGACTTATGTAAGTCTTCTAGTCCTTGCTTTGCTGAAAAGTTTAACTTCTCAATAACGACTAAAACAAGCTTTATTCGTAAGTTGAAGTTCTGAGGTCATTTATTTTTGTCAGCAGTGAGACCATTCATGATAAAAATAAGCCGCTAGCGGCAAGGGCGAAGCCCATGTGGTCATTTACAATACTGCGATGGTAGAGTTTAAGAGTTGTGCTTCAATGTAGAGACAGTCCTTATGGTCTGGAGGTAAGAACACTGGGCAGTTATGGTCATGAGTGGAGAACATGTCTATCCAAAACTCACGATTGAAGCCAGTTAATTTATAGTATTTAGGGTTAGGAAGTGGTGAAGTTCTTGTATGACCAATGAACTCATTTTCAACGCCCTTACTTAAGTTTGAATATAATATAGCTTGCTTTCTATCCCAAATGCCAGGTGTTACAATCTTTGAAAATTCATTTTTCCTCGGAAGCATTGCATCATAATTGAAAACATTCTTGAAATCATCACTTGGTTCAGAGATTTGAAATCTTATACGTAATGGATTTTCTTTCTTTTTAGCGACTTCATTGAATGGTGAGAATACAACAAACTGACAGTCATGAGTTCCATCTTCATTTTCATTAAATTCATAATGAAAGTCTATAAGTTGTGGCTGACTACCTTCTTCTTTCAGTTGTGCAAGAAACTCACGTAAAGGCTGTAAAGTTTGTACTTCAATGTTAAACTTTTTCTCGAACATTTCATTAAATGAAATCATACATTGCAACAATGTTGTATCGTCTTTAAAGTATTTGTATATGTGAATGTTTTGGGCGCTTAAAGACTGTTCGTCATTTTCTATCTCGACTTGAAGTATAAAGTCAACTTTCCTAAATGCACGTGTTATATACATATTTGTTATGCCAATATATTTTTCTTCATTTATGTTCACAATCCAGTCTGTTGGAAACTTAAACGTTACTCTGTTCCCCTTTATTTTGACGTCAGGGTTTTCACTACTGAACGCAACAGATAAAGGTATTTGTCTATACATTTAGTTCCAATAAAAATAAACCATTTACTCTTTCTTCACTTCAGCTTCTTTAGCTTTTGCTTCAGCTTCTTCTCTAGCTTTCTTCGCCAGCAAACGTGGGTTCTTTGTCTTCCAGCAGCTAATGCAGCAAGTTGTTTTTCACTAAGTTTTCTCTTTGGTCTCTCTGGCTTTTGTTCTTGTTTTTGTTCCTTCAGTTCGGATAAAATTTGCTCGCGAATTTCTTTCTTCAATGCTTCAACATCTATGACCCCTTGGGTCTTGTCCGTAGGACTTGTCTGAGTCATTTGACTGCAGATAAAAAACAAAATTAAAACTTTAACCGATGTAAAATGAGCTTGTCAAAATCAGAGCGAGAGTCTATTATATTAAATGACGCAAGAGGAATACAACATCCTTTCTATTATGTAAGTCAGAGTAAAGATGGTAAAATATACGTAAGAAAAAGAAAGGTTCCATTAGCGAATGCAGAGAGCGACAACATTAAGGTGCATGGCACCGAGGGTGAAGCCCATATAAAACCTTCTATTCAAACTGAAAAGTCAATAGAACAAGAAGAAAAGAAGCCAGATGTTCTTTCAATAACGAACCAAGAGCTTATTGCAAAGTTCGTGAATTTCATTGAAAAGCAAACCGAGTCAAAGAACCCTGACCCACCAGTGAAAGAAGTTGAGACAAAAGAGAATGTACAGTTCATTGAAAATGTCAAGAAACAACTTCCACCACGAATGCCAAGAAGAAGAGTGAGAATAATGAAGTAAATAGATATTTTTATCTGAAGTAAATACATGCAGAACTAACAGTTAAACGAATTTACTCCAGCAGAGCATATTCATCAGATTCGCTCATATTTCGATATCATAGACAATGCAGTTCAAATTGGTGACACTAATAGAAAATATTCTGACGCAAAGATTCCATCACAACCTGGAACTGCTAAAGATAACACATGGGTAACATTCAATCTCTCACCTCCTGGTGAAAATATGTTGGACCTTTACAATACATTCATTACGTATAAAATGGAAGGTCAATTTATTGCAGATAAAGAAATTGGTTCAGGTTCCAATAAAACAAACCCACCAGGATTTTGGATTGGTTTCGATGACGCTTTCTATGCAGTTGCTGGATATCAAATCCTTGCAAATGGTCGTATCGTATATTCTCAAGACAACGCAAGAGAAGAAGCATATATAACTTCAAACTCACAAACTACCGAACAAATAAAGAAAGTAGATGTTTTCTCAAAGACTCGACATGAAGATGTATGGAGTCATTCGGGAACATGCAGAACAGGACAAATTGTTAGTGGTCCAATTACAGCAGGAAAATCATTTGATTTTAAGCTTCGTTTAAGAATTCCTGTTAGAAAGTTTTTACCATTAGAAGCTATAAGATTTATTCCTGCATTTGCTGGTAACATTCAGCTTAAAGTAAAGTTCAGTAGCGACGCATTACAATGCACATCTATATCTGTAAATGATATCATTGCTTTCAATCCAACTCTTAAAGTTGCATTTGCTTCAGATTCAAATCCACCGACAAATAAATTTGTTCCATGGAATGAACCATTCACTATGATAACGAAGGCAATAGAAGCTAGTGGAACAGTTACTATTACAACTGTAACCCAGCAACTATTTCGAACAAAGATGGATTTTAATGAATGTTTCATTCATCCAAAGTCATTCTCTTTAGACCCTAACATTTATACAGAACTTGTAGAACATTATACAAACGAGGCTTTATGTTTTCCTGTTAAAGTTATGGATTGGATTCCTATGGACGGTTCATTCTCAAAGAATACAGATAGTTCAAGTGCAACATTTACAGCAGCTTATACGCCTATTAATGTTAAAAGTATTTGGGCACTATTTAGAAAGAAAGACAACTATTATGTTAATTTTGAGAACCCTAAGTTTAAATATCTTCAGCTTTCCATGGGAGCTTATGGAAATATGCCTGCAGAACCTGAAAAATCATATGGACCTGTATTTTATGAAATGGTTGCGAACGCTTGCAATACAAACAATGATATGATTGAATTTAATGAAGATGTTATGAGGTCATTGGTGGATGATGGTAGTGTGGAACATAAATGGGATAGCTATGACAACACACATTTCTTATGTGGTTTTCCAACTGAAGTGGACTTTTGCTTCCAGCAAGGTCAAACATCTACTGCTCCAATAACATACAAATTGTCTGTTAAAGGACCTATTGAACTAGCAACTGAAAACGTACCAAAGCCACTTATTGGATTTATGAGGGATTGTTGCTTTGCAATACAAGTAAGACAGTCAGGCATACCAATAATAAGACTTGACGACTATAACTTAGCAACTGACGACAGTGAGGAATAAAGGATGAACGTTTATTTTTAAAGCTTATAAATGAGTTCTTCATCAAGCTCTCGTGAACCTTCACCATCTATGAAACAAACTTTACCAAACGATTATGGAGCACCTATTGAATATTTCTTACGAGCTGCACAATGGCAAAGAGCAGTCTCACCAAGGTTAGGTGTTCCACCAGCTCCTGTCAAAAATAGCATTTGGTCAAGTCCTTATATAAGATATGGTCTCCCACTAGGTTTGCTAGCTACAGCAGGAGCAGTAATGATGTTGAAAAGAAATAAAGCAAATGTTGTAAATAATACTGAAGTAGCTGAAGTTAAACAAACTCCGACACCATCGCCAAAACCAACGCCTTCACAAACAACACCTTCAATGACTCCTGAACCTATGGAATTACAAACTCCTGTTCAAAAGTCAACTCCAAAACCGACTCCAACATTTAAACCAGAACCTACACCACAAATAAATCGTAAAACTCCTGCGTTTCCTTACTGAAAAAATAACGTTATTTTTATTTAATATAGGGTGTCCAAAGGTGTGTTTAGCACAAACCTGAATACTGCGAATAGAAATAAACAAGTTACATATATATAAAGTTTATTTAAATATAATCACCATTGGATTCAATCACGCGTTCGCAGCGATCGATCCAGGCTTGAAAGACACGCTTTAAATCATCATGAGAAAATTGCTCAAATTGCTCTCTTACAAAATTTTCAAGATCATCTGGACTCGCGAATTCGCGTCCTTCAGCTCTCTTTTTTAGCGTGCCGAATAAATAAAAGTCAGAGGGTGCAATATCAGGTGAATAAATTGGGTTTGGAACAACTTTGACATTGTTTTCCACCAAGTAATTCATTACCTTATGACTTTTGTGAACTCTTGAATTATCAAAATGAATTGCAAACTTTTGTTTTTGTTGTTTGGATTTCTCAAACCCATCAGAATTGATAATTTGAGTAAGAACATTGTCAATTAGATACTGAGCATTCATCGTATTAGGTTTTTGAAGAATATCAATTGCGATGATGCCATTCACGCCCCAAAAAACCGACAACATCATCATTGGTGTGTCAATTTTTTTCTTCGGGAATGTTTGCAGATTTTCATCCTTCGGGATCCACATGATTTTGGCTTCTGTTGCATATTGAAACCAAGACTCGTCCCCTGTTACTAAAAAGCGAAACTTCTTGGATTGATACGCACCCAATATAGAGAGGAGCTCTTTCGAAGATTGGACACTAGATTTTTTTTGAACTG